GGTGCCGGTAAATAAGTAAAAAAGTAAAGTTTGATTATTATGTTCCTTAAAATATATAATAAATTATTATTTTGAATATTGTCTTCATAAGTAGTATTTGAAAACCCAAAATGTGAGTATGAACTACGTTTTTAAAATTAAATGAATTTACCTAAAAAGAAAAATGGTTTCATTGGTTGTTTTGTTATTTTTACCAACCTTTGGTTTTCTGCATCAGTTGTTAAGTATTGATATTTTTACTGGGGTAATGTAGCTTATTCTCTTTATTTAACAATTTCATATCAAAATCCGAATTCTGAACAGTAAAAAACTTAGCGTCTAAATGTTGCCTCCCGCATCTCATCAAAGTTGTCCTACGGAGTTTGACCCTATAAAATTTTAATTACATTTCTATTTCTATTATTTTAATTTCTTTTAAGGGACATTCTCGTCATTTTATTACGCATCTTAATTTATTGTTCAAGAAATATAAACCCTAAATTCTCAATTGCTTCTAGTTAACATTTCTATTCTATAAAATTTTGGGCTATTTCATGGATTATATGAGGAAGAATGAAAACTTACATACACAATTGCAGAAATGATGGAATGGGATGTGGTTGAACTTGTAGGTGAATAATGCAGGGATTTCCGGAGCCCTAGTGGACAATGAATCTCTAAGAGCTGCAGCACTTGGCAAGGTGCGTAGTCATCATCTGTATACATAAAATATGCATGTATGTATATGTATACATATGTACATATATGTAAATGTTTATGATCTAAAATATATATCATATTATTCTTAATTACTGCCACCGATCTAAATAGAGGTGATCTAAGTTCGATCTGAGGTAACTTATGTTAAAATGGAAAATATATATACATAAATGCCTAAGTGTTTTGATGAAATATTTACAATTACCATTTGCTAAACGCAAATTCTTATACATACATATATATATATATTCTGATTGTTGCATGAATTGTCAGAAATTAATTTTGAAGAAGTAATGCTGATTATACTTATGAATTAGCGGAAGAATGTTTTCAAACAAACTATTACGGTGCAAAGAGAATGTGTGAAGCATTTATTCCTCTGCTTGAATTATCAAATTCACCCGGGATTGTTAATGTTTCTTCAATGATAGACAAGTTAGAGGTAAACCCATTCTTCAACCTTCCTTTTATATATATATATATCTTTCACGATTTTACTCAACCCTAAGTACATATATTATCTCTTTCAATATACATATATATATATATATAATCAAGTAATTGATGCAAATATTGTTTTCATATAAACTTTACTTTTTTCTATATAGAATTCAACCATTAATTTTTGGCAGTTTTCTTTTTTGTTTATAATTTCCTTGCAGAATCTATCAAATAAATGGGCAAAAGAAATGTTAAGTGATGCAGAAAATCTTACAGAAGAAAAAATTGATGAAGTATTGAATGCGTTTCTAAAAGATTTTAAAGAAGAATCGTTAAAATCTAAAGGTCGGCCTTCTTTTTCTTCTCCATATATAATGTCAAAAGTAACAATGAATGCATATACGAGGATTCTATCAAAGAAATATCCGTCATTTTGTGTTAATACTGTTTGTCCTGAATTTGTCAAAACAAATATTAGTAATAATATCGGCATCTTATATCCGGAAGAAGGCGCCGAAAGTCTTGTAAAACTAGCATTATTGTCTGATGGTGTGGTCCTTCTGGTCTCTTTTTCATTCGTAAAAAAGAGTCATCATTTTAATTTATTAGTAATTTAATTAAGTATTTCTTACATAATAAATTTAAATGCGACGTGTGTCTAAATTTGTATATCTTTTTTATTATTATTATGTAATAATCAACGAAATTTGTCTTAGAATTTTTTATTTTATAATTTAAGGTCATTGTATTCTTGTAATGCCAATGATAAATTAACAATTATAGCATAATTACTTTCATCATAAATCTACTGATTTTGTTTTTTACATTATCTACTTTTTCTTTGAAAATTAAGAAACTCTTTATTAACACAATAATACATGACAAGAAAGTGAAGAAACCAAAGCTAACCTTACAACATGAAAAGAAAATGCTTGTAACAATTGCTTTTTAGAATTTTTTTTTTTTCAATTCTTAACGCTAAAACAACAATATTAATTTCCAAGAAATTTAAAAAAAAAAAGAAATTTTCTTATTTTATAAGAAATAGTTATTGAATCTAAAATTTTATTTTTAAAGTATTATTAATAAAAGTTAAATTCAGATAGATAATATACTTATTTTTTAACATAAATTATATATTTTAATAATAACATAATTAATAATAACATAATTAATAATAATATAATTTAATAATAATGAAACATATATAAAATATAATCTAATTTGAATTTACAATCTCATGGACGTCCTTCTAGCTTCTTTAAAATGTTAGAGTAGACACATTTTTTATTCGAAGCTAAGCTCAACGGAT